CAATCAATCAATCAATCAATCAATCAATCAATCAATCTATCTATCTATCTATCTATCTCAATAACTAAATAATAACTAAACATTTGGAGAGCCCTCACTGAAGCTTTTTCATTGATCATTTCAACCTGTTTTTTTAACAACAGAAAATTATTTTACATAAATATTTTCTTAATTTGCTTTGGTATAATAGAGTTTATTTCAAATTACAACATACTGTTGCATTTCTTGTATTTGGACTGAAAGTCTAGTGCTAGGGTTTAAAACCATAATGTTTCATTAAACTACTTTCAAGAGCCAAAAACATGTGTTTTTGATTCTTAAGAATAAAATATGCTTTGTTTTATGTTTTATGTTACCATACAACAGTAATGATGCACTGGAGCAAAAGTGAAAACTCATACAGAATATGAAGTTTAGATTCAACGTAAGTCCGTTAATTGAACAGGTTCGTTAATTGAACGGGTGTGCTGATTTAACAGGTCCTTTAATTGAACGGGTCTGTTAGTTGAATGTTGCTTTAAAGTTGTATCTTTAGACTTGTCTGTTCAGTTCAACATCAAGGATGATTAATGGCTACCCGCCTCTAATGATAGTAATTAATAATTATCATTAACTTAATTTACCGTTTAAATGTGGCATTTAAACTTGTTGTGGATCTTGGTTTGAAGTAACAACTAGTAAATGTAAAAAAGTTACATTAATAGTTGAGATGTGTAATTATTAATCATTATCAAAACCATGCAAATAATGTTATTAATGTTGTTAACTACAGACAACTACATTTAAAAAGCTAAAATGTATTAAACAAACAATTTTTTTTTCTGTTACAATCAATTATTCTATTTAATAATCCTACACAACAGTACCTGGGAAAGAGAAACACAAAAATCTACTAAACTGATTAATCTGGATAGCAGTAGTCCTTAGATAACTTAAACAACCCATTAAGCCTTGCTTAGTTACAAATTGATTAATTATCCATTAATCAGCAGTCAATATGAAGTAAACAGCATTGACATTAATTTGTGATATGGCACTAATAGAGCTCCATATGATGCTGAACAATGCCTTACCAAACAATGCTGTGCACCACCAGCATTAGAATAGTTTAAAGCTAGCGGCAGCGCTTGACTGATTAAAATCGTATTTGTCTGACAGATGAACAGTTTGTTAATGTTAATAATTAAGCTCATGGGTTACTTTTCAAGTACCACAGGGATCAGTGCTATAACAAAATCTCTTTACTATATAAATGCTGATATTGGTAACATTTTCAAACGCTCAATCCATAAATAAGGGGAGAGAAATGGTCAGATGTAAAGCCTTTTTTTCAGGTTGGTAAAACTTCACCAAATATAAATCAATCTGTTATGTAATTAAATGCATTGTATGTTGGGTTTTAGAAATTTTTTTGTTTCTGTTTCATCACTATTAGTAAATATATATATATATATATATATTTAATCTTTAGCAAATGTGTTGTCATTTTGTCATCAGACTATTATAGGTTAGTTAGCAATAATAACCATATTAGGGGCTACTTATCTTTTATGATTTGTAAAATAATTTTATTGATTGGGTGTATTTTCTTTTTCTAAAATTCAGGGTTAGCAATATTAAGAGTACCATACTCATAGTAGCAGCTTAAGTGAGAATGACCTTTTATTTCAGAATTCACAATACAATATTTCAGTAATACAAATAAATGGGTTTCTATATTTTAACAATTCTAGTTGCTTGGTTCGTTTTTTAAACAAGTTCAAACATCTTATAAGCCTTCTTTACATTTACTTACTTACGGTACATAGGAAAGAACATCAGTTTCATTAGAAAACAAGAAATAAAAACATGTTTTAATTGTGTACATCAGCACATCATTCCACTCCGAATAGAAAGTGGAGATAAAACAAAGAGAAAAAAAAAACTTGGCAATATCTAGAAATTTTTCACATAACTAAAACATGTGTTAAAAATTAGCAAGTCAACATGCAGCCCTAGAATGAGGCCCACCAAACCAAAGCCAGGAGATAATTTTTCTCTCTTATACCCCTTTTCTCATTGGCCAAAAACCCCATTTAGATTTTTGAGCTTCTACTGACTTAGGGCAGTGTTTCCAAACCTTTTTTGACTTGTGTACCCCTTTGGGCATTATGTCTTACCATGAGTACCCCTCACACTCAAAAGTATTGACGATTGGGCAACAGTGGCGTTGGATGTAGGAGTTTTCCCTGAAATCGAAGGATTGAAGCCCCGACTCCGACTTTCAGTGTCATTGTGTCCTTGGGCAAGACACTTCACCTGCATTGCCTACTGATGGTGGTCAGAGGGCCCAGTGGCGCCAGTGTACGGCAGCCCCGCTTCTGTCAGTGAGCCCCAGGGCAGCTGTGGCTACAATCTAGCTTGCCACCATCAGTGTGTGAGTGTGTGTGTGAATGAATGTAGTGTAAAGCGCTTTGGTTAAGTCTCCTGACTTGAATAAAGGCGCTATATAAGTACATGCCATTTACCATTGTCCAAAAGTGGAACGTATAATGACTGATTTTAAAATAAAAACCATTTTACTTAATCTTTTAATTTGAGCATTTAATTATTAGGCATTTCTGGAAGTTAGTAAGGAATATAAATGAAAACAAAATAAAATAATATCATAAACCTGTATTTATAAAACTGGAGCTCCGCAGAGTAACTCCCTTTTAATCACATTTAAACGTGATGAATCCTAAACAAAATATATAGAACAAAAATTATACTCAGACTGACTTAATTAGTATTACTTTGTTTTTATCAAGACACCTGAGCTGCTTTGATTAGCTCCGATAGCTCAGTGTGAGGAACAACTGATACCAGGCTGTTCTCTACATCCTCTGTTCATCTGCTTGGTTTAGGTGAACTCAAACATATAAGAAAAACTTAACTTTTGGTTGATAAACGCTTGTTTATTTTTTTCAACTGGGCCCCCACAAAGCAAACAGATCCTGGCCCTTTTTTTATTTAACTACCTAAGATATAGAATATCTTTATGTACCCGTTGCAATGCACTCACGGACCACTAGGGGACTGCATATTCCCGGTTGGGAATCATTGACTTAGGGAAAAGCTCACTGACCTTTTTTTGACCTGTGTCAAACGACTCATTTAGCGACCTGGATAAAGCCTTCAAACGGCTCGGCTCCAATCGGCACAGAGCTGGAACAAGTGGTCGACCCACTAATTTATGTAATACCACTGAGCGAAATGTACGAACATCAACACACTATGCCGGCTGTTTCTGATCTAACAAGCCAAACAACTCTGTTTACATTTGATAAATATGGCGTAGCACTGGTGAGAGGGATTCAGACAGACAAAAGAAAGAAATACTTTCTACACTCTGGCTCCCTTCTTTTGTTGCTCTCCATTGTTTACTTTCCTGATCTCTGCTGCACTGGTGACATCATCAACGCTAACCCAGCACGATGGTGTCCCCAGGCACGCAGCAGTGGGGGCCATGCAGCTTGCCAGCGGGAGGTGGGAAAGAGGCTTTACTGTTGCAATTCAAATCAAATACTGCAAAAATGTGACACATATACCAAGTGTCATAAATCAATTGTATATGAGATTTAGACCCACATTTGCTTCCCTTTTCTCCCAAAACTAAAGTTTTGATGACCCAGGTTGTAGGTTTGCTCAACAACATCAACTGCTGTTGAGCAACGGATGCCTTCAGATCACTTCCAATCAGAATGGAGGCTTGTTTTCAGTTCACGCTGTTGACCAGCTGGCCATTGAGGCGCCTCGTAGAGATGAGAGCAGCTGCCTTTCACAGGGCAGTTAATAATCATCAGTGAGTTTACACAGCTGGCAGCGACCCTCACTTGACAGCACATATAGGCATATGAATAGATGAATTATATGAATGGATATTTTTTTTGTATTTAGATGAGCTATGTAACATTAACTGTCAGTGAAAATAATGTTATGGCTTATTGAGGTAAGCATACCAGTCAACAGATGAATCAGCTACATAGATATAAAGATGTGGAAGATACCAGGCATCACAGTGATGGGCTTCAGCAATTGTTTCCAAAGACAGGGCCCCATGGTAAATAAAATGTGAAAAAAAAAAAAAAAAACTCACATGGGAGGATGCTAAAAAAGGCTATAGCCCAGATGGCTACATCCCTCTAAATATGATCCTTCTAATGGATTATAGGGTAAATATAGCATAATGTGCAATTCTATTGTATTGATTAATCATTGTTGTATTGTCTGTTGCATAAAAACAAAAACTGTCTACAAAACAGACATTCCCTCTTTGAAGATTCCACTGGTGATGTTACCTTATAGCCCCCACCCCCCCCCCCCACCCCCCATTGAGTCTTTTGCCCCATACAAAAACCTTAAAACAAAAGCAAAAACAAACAAACAAAAAATTCAGTAACTGGAGAGACAATTCTCAATCATTTCAGTGAGCCTCTCCAGGGATGCCCCATGAAAGAGATGGGAATAACTAAAATAAAGTCAGGAAATTCCATGTCAGTATAAAACCCCATGGGTAAAATGGGTCAGAGTTCCTTTTAACCGGCCAGTGCAACTTTGGTCTGCAACAAAGATAGCAATCACTGGCCATTCATTGCAGGTTTGGAGGTGAAAGGCTCATTCTCAGGGTCCCTTGGCAAGTTGACCTATGCAGAACCAGACATAAATATAGGATTAGTGAAGATCGAACACCTTAAAATATATTAAACACCTCAAACTTGATTAAACTTAAATGCATGAGCATTTCAGAAATCTAATTATATAAAACATGATGTCTTAGTTGGTAAATGCATTGGGTTGCCTTTCTCAAGTAATGTAAGCATGCATAAACATTGCTCATCTTTAATGTTTTCATTATTGTGTAAAAGTTATCTATGTGTAATAAAATGCCCTCTTCCCCCAGTGACAATACTGTAATACTGTTTAAATTGAAGTTTCACTACGGTTTCAGCAGCAGGTGTTTTGGGAATATATCTGTCCTGTCAACAATTTCTCCAACCTGAGCTGTGGATGTCAAACAGAGTTACTCATTTCGCTTTCCATCCAGAAAGCAAAACATCTTCAAACTTGGAAACAAAGTCCAGTGTTTTTTTTTTGTTTTGTTTGTTTTTTAATTTTGTTGAAATGACTACTGTATGACCTGGATGACTGAGAATCTTCACCAGCAAAATTATGTAGCCTAGTTTTTCAGTGCTACTTAATTTGTGCAGGTAAAAGTATCGTCTGTACTGATTTGGTCTTTTTAAGATAACTACGGCCCATGATGTCACCATCCCAGCAGTTGCTAGTGCTGCACTCATTTTAGAATATAAAGTTATTGCATAACATCACATCTCATTCCTGTGCTGGTTCTGAATATATTAGCATGCATGTTTACCTTATTTAGTCACTGGAATGATTGTTTAATATTTAGTAAATCAGCAGCTTCCTAGACCCTTCAGTTTGGAAATGTCCTGCCAACCCCATAGCATTTCATGTCAATGTCTCGCTGTTGGAATTTCACAACAAAAGCACAGGTGATACTTAACATCATGGACTTCTGCTAAAATGCCTTTGGGAGACCATCCTATTTTGGAAAATCCCCAAAAGCACTGTGCTGAAGAAAAATTAGGACGATTAACACTCTTTCTAAGACTAAATTGAATTGGATTTTTTTAAAGCTACCTAAAGACATCTTGAGAGTCTTCCTTATATTTATTAACACTATTTATATCTGCATTCCATATTAAGTGAGAAAAGCTTCACCTACAACCAGTCCCTGATTGGTTGCCATGTCAAAAATTTAAGCTTCTTTGAACTTCAGCAATCATCACTCTGCTCTCTCCATGTGGTGCTACTCTTTGACAAAACCTCAGTTCTATCAAGTAGCATGAGCAAAGCAGTGAACGCCCTCACCAAGTGGGATTCACCGCTGCCTGCTTCCCCATGTGTTTTGCATAGGAATTCTATGGCTACACTCACACTGCAGCCTGAAGTGACCCAAATCCAATTTTTTTGGCCATAGGCGACCTGGACCTGATCTTTTCATGTCAGTCTGAACAACACATATCCGATTTTTTCCAATCCGACCCAGGCCACTTGTCTATGTGGTCCTGAATCCGATACGAATCTAAACTTTTCAAATGCGACCTGTGTGTGAACGGCCAGGTCAGATTAATCTGACCTGAACGTTATTAATACCCGACAAAGGTCACTATTCTGCGTCTTGCTACGCAGAAGCGGCAAGAAAAACAACAACCATGGCAGATGATGATGCGGAGAGCAGTATTTATGTTTAAACATATTGAAAAGAATGAGTTTTTATGGTTGGAAAAGACCGCTAGATGCGCGCCGGCACTACCATCTATGTTTACTTCCATAAACAGGGAGCACGCTTGTGATGTCATTGCATACTCTACTGCCCTGCGGGACACTTGCATTGTATGACTGCAGTTCACACAGGAGATCACATACAAGTCGCATATATTTGGAAATATGAACGGGAACGCAAAAAAAAAAAAAAAATTCTTTAGCCCCAACACAGCTGAGTCAAATTAATGGCTCATTACCAGGCCTTTGCCAAACTGGATTGCTTGCTTAAGAGGTAATTCAATATTTGAATCAACTGTGTTGGAGCACGGATGCATCTAAAATCTGCAGGATAGTAGATATTGAGGACCTTAAAAGAGTAATCTTACATGAAGTCCACACAACTGCATTCCAACTGCATGGAACTCAAAATATACTAATTTGAGTATTTTAGGTTTTATTCTATAATTTCCTAGCACATTTAATTACTCCTTTTATCAATATAACCTTCTCCACTGCCACTACATGCTGACAACGAACCAAATATTTGTATCTACATCCTAAGTAAAGAGAGGTGGACATCCTTTCTGTAAAGACATAGGGAGTTTTTCCTCTCTACCGTCGCTGCTTGCATGCTTGGTGTGAGGGATAGGAAAGAATAATGCAGTCAATAACTCATGCAATCAGCTTGGTTTCGTTAGATAGAAAGCTTTTACTCAATCTTACTGCATGGTCTAATTGAATTGTCTCTCTAAAGGGCTAACAGATTACATGCTTTGTAAATTAGATCCATAGAAATAAAAATATTTTATTTAACTGAGACAAATTAGGGATAATTTTTCACCTATTACCTCCTGAAATGAGTCAGGTGGCATATATTTGGTGATGTTTTATTATTTTGAACCAAATTACCTTATTAAAATTTACATTAGTCAGACAAAGAACTAAGTGCTGTTTAAATAGAAAACACAGATACTTTGAAAAATGCTAAAATCAAGAATTTGCAAAGAAAAATACCAAACTCCCAGTGCGCTTCTCTGGTGGGATTGTGTTTCTGATATCAAGAATTTAAACAGATTGTGTTCTTTACCATATATTAAACCCATAGTAGGAAATTAATCAATAAATCCTAAAATTACATAAGGTTCATTGTTCAAAAAACTTAATGTGAGTTATCACCAAGTTTGTTAATTCTGCCAATGAATAAAAAGGCATTTGTTTTTACCTTATTAGCAGTCCGTACGGTCCCCAAGGCGTTCGTATTTGTACAATTTTTCTGTTTGTAGAAGCAAAGCACTTTTTTAAAACTTTGCCTGAAGTTTTCTGAGAGGAAACCGTAGAGTACTGGATTTGCACAGGAGTTGACGTAGGTGAGGATGACCAGGGAAAAATAGGCAGCAGCACTGGTTTCATTCTCCGGTATGGTATGACACAGGTTATAAATGTTGATGGTGAAAAATGGCAGCCAACAAAGCACAAAGACCAGCACGATGATCACCACCATGCGGGTCACCTTGCGCTCTGACTTGCGTGGCTTAGTCAGGCCTGCACGCAAGCCTGCTGACTTCACCTGGAAGACAAAAGGCATAAGACTTTGAGAAGGTATATAAAAGTTTTAAATCTTTTACCATTTCAAGTCATATAGGATATTTAAATATTACATTACCTTAAAAATAATAAGTAGATAGCAGAGAGAGATGACAAATAAAGGTGCAAAGAAGCCCATGACGGATGTATACAGGATAAATGCAATGGACCATACGTTATGATCATCTGGCCAGCTTATGTTGCAGGTGTTGAAGTCTTCCTGCACATTCGAGTACAAGGTAACTGGCAACACCAGCAGGAAGGAAACAACCCACACCACACCGCTGAAAATCATGGCCACCCATGGCCTTCTCCATCTGGCACTGCTCACAGGATAAACCACAGCAAGGAAACGGTCAATGCTCATCAGCGTCAGGCAGAAGGTGGAGGCGAACTGGCTCATGCCATCAGCAGTCATGCACACCTTACAAAGGAAATTGCCGAATGGCCAGTAAGAGAGTGCACTATTGGTCCCAATGAAGGGGATTCCCAGGATGTAGAGTTCATCTGCCAAGGCTAAATTCAGGATGTACAAGTTGGTTACTGTCTTCATTTTGGTGTAGCGGGCCACAACATAGATAACTAATGCATTTCCCAAGAAACCCACAACGAAGACCGTAGTGTAGATTATTGCTGTAATCTCGCTGAAAGGTAGTGGTGGAGGTTTGAAGGTATCATTGGTGCTGCTGTTATTCTCAAGCATTATTACTCCACTGCCGTTGTTCATGTTGAAGGGGGAAGTGCTGATATCCTCCAGTTTATGGTGAATAAGCTAAAGAGAGAAAACACACACAAGCACAGTTAATATGCACGTTCCACCTGCTGCTATTACCAAGAAAGAAAAACAATTCAGAAAATTCTGACTGTTAGAGTATTCTGTGAAATCCTAGTTCAGAGAACATTTTTATATTCGACTTCTCATCATACACATATGGCACAGAACAATTGTGTTTGGTGATTTCTTGGCAAGGGGCCTATGTTTACCATGAGAAGAGAGAAACTTTCCAGGTAACTGTCTGGGCACATGGCCAACATGCAATTTCTTGTAAAAGGAAAATGAACTTGGCAGAAGAATGATATTGTCTAAACAGTTTTATTGATGCTGTCATAGGACAATATGTTAAGAAAGATGACAGAGATGAAGAGCAATGGGTCCTTTGAAAACACAATTCAATTTTTAAAGTTATAATTGATTTTAAAGGATTTTAAATGTTTTCAGAAGTCTTTAAAGACACATCACAGAAGGTGCATATAGTTATTTTTTGAAGTGTTCAAGCCTGAAAAACTGTAATCTGGTTTAGGTCTAACTATGAAAGTTAGAGTAAACATTATAGTGAGATCAAGCAAGCAGCTGGAAGCCTCACGAGAGGATTGTTGCAGTTTAGAAGTGTGTTGATGTATTTACAGTTAAAACTGTGCCCATGAGGAAAACATTCAAATGAAAACATGTTCAGATAAAAACTGCAATGTGTTAAATGAAGTCTCATAAAAACTTTAAAAAATGATTAGATATGAAAATGCATGAACAAACAATCAGAAAGAGACTGCACAACTTTAACTTATATGGAAGATGTTCAGGGTTATACATTTGATGTGTAACAAAGATATAATAATCACCTTAACATGTCACTGAAATTGTACATTACTGCACAATTTGCTCGCTGCATTTAACTCATTACTTAGAAGGCAACGAGCAGCCTATAGAGCACAGGGAGCATTTTGGGGTTAAGGAATTTGCAGGGACTCAGATTGCCAGTTAATGTTTCAAACAGCCAAATGTGTAGCTTCTACAGGACTCAAAAGCATTGCTCTGTATATCACACCACCACTCCCATGGAAAACAAACAAAGACAATGGTCAAACCAGAGCTTGCAAGAATGAATGCACTCATAGATCAAAACTTAAGGATTTCAAAAGAAAATCAAGAAATTAACACATCTTAGCAAAGGATGTGCTAAGTATAAACCAAATTAAGTATTCTAGGAAAAGAGTTGGTCTCAGTAACTTGACAGTGTCCTGAGCATACCAGGAATTACATCAAGTCCTGCGTAGAGACAGAGTGTAGCCATTCAGCAGATGTGGGCTAAGTGGAAATGGGCTGCACACTGAAACACTTTCTAACACTTCACAGCTGATAGTGAGGAGTACGTACACGTTTCCTTAGATTTATGTCAGATCAGATGGCCATATAATCAAATGCCTGAATTCATTTGAGCCCTTCCCTTACAATACACATTTTTATTAATATTTCAATTTAGCCTCTGGATTAAGTAAAGTGAAAAATATTTTACAAGCACATAATGAGCTGTCATATTCATTTCACAAGACCAAGACTGTTTATGGACTGATGAATGAGTTCTCTTATGGTTGTTTGTGCCAAACAGGTGTATCTAAGTGCTGATGTTCTTAGTTCTCGCATGTCATATTTCACAAAGTTAGACACTCTCTAGATGTATTTGTCAGCTTTTTCAATTTCTTGCTTATCAGTGTTCTTTAATTAAATTGTGAACATGCTTTAAAGGACACATAATAAATTACTTAGCAGTTAAAACATCAAACTATTGTCCTGACGTAAGTAAAGAAAACCGAGTCTTTTGCTATGTTATATTAAGCCACATCAAGATATAGCTTGCAAAGGTGGGTTTATCTTCCTCAGTGTAGACAAGAGATTAAAAGGTAATAGCCATCAAATTTGCATTGCATTTATGTACATCTCAGGGAAGAGTCATATTCGTGTAGTATATGTGATGTGTGAGTTATGAGACATGTCGAGCTAAGATGTTCCTGGTTTATATAGTCAACAAAGGGTTAAATGATAAACATGCTGTCATTTGAAAAGACCTCCATCTGCAACATTTAAAGTTATGCATGTATTAGATGTTGTTTTTCTCCTTGATAAGTTTTCCATATTTTCTTTCATTTAGCTTGACCAGTATCTATTAGGAGATTTGACCAGTAGTGCAAAGGTTCTCCATTTATGGGTTATGGCCCTCATTGTGGTTTGACAGACTTCCAAAACCTAAGGAATTTCTATTTCCAGCCTGATAAACATCAAAATCTTTCTTTCACATCCACATTTTAGATATTTTTTTAGATTTGGATTGGATCTATTGAATTTCTAAACAACCCTGGTTTGTGTTGTAAGGCAAGTATTGATTAAGCAGTAGTTATAGTTGGATAGCTATTTTTTTTTTAAACAAAAACCAAAATACAAGACATTCAAAAGGAGGCCATCATGACCCTGAAACCTAAGACTTTTCTATTCCTTCCTTTATTTAAACTATATATATATTTTTTTTTTCTCACAGAGATCCCACAATACCATAAGTCCAAGTCAGTGAGTCTTTTGTAAAGTTCTAAACTTTTGTGTTACCTGTAAAACACTTGTAACACTATCAGTACTCAAGATTGATCTATTGTTCCTCAAATACTTAAAACCCCCTTCTTTTGATGTCCAAGAAAATTCTAAAGATATTTTAGTCATATTTTGTTGTATATGTATCAAATTATCATCAAAATTTGGATCAATTCATCATCAGGTTGATCAATTGATAAAATGTTTATGTTTTAAGGGTAATTCAATCATCTAAATGTTTCTGTGCAGCATAAAATGCCAAACCTGCATTATGTTAATTTGTGGTGACATTATGACACTAATGGTTATGAAGCCCACTAGCCCTAAAACAATAATAATCATATTAGTGTCAGATGATGGACGTTAACCTTTGGGCATCACCGACTGCTTCCCTCCACCCCCCCAACCCCCTGTGTTGATGTGATTCAGCTACTGGAGAGTGGATAATTGTCAGATGCCAAACGTTCCAACCCGAGGCTGTATGATGTGTTGCACAAATAAACGCCTTGACGTGCGGACTCGCTGAAGCGCGCTCCAAAACACGGGAGTGACGCGCAGCCCGCAGCAAAAAATGTTGGTAAAACAAACATAAGTAGCCCCTGTCTCAGGCTGGTCGGGGTTTGCATTGCCTACTTCTGTCCACTAAACTCTAATTTCCAAATACCACAGCCTTAAAAATCATTTAGTGGGCGCTCACATCCCTGCCCAGTGGAATTACGCACGGGATTTTTTTTATTATTTTTTTTTATTTGGGGCTCAATTACTTTTCTTTTTTTTTATCTGACCTATTTGGTTTCCTTTGCTCTCATGAGAAAAAATGCCTAAGACATATTATAATAATTAGGGAAACTGGTAACTGGAAAATTTATAGCGTGGGAATAAAACATAAAAACTATTTATTACAATATTTGTCCAAAAGATGTACAATTGGCTTGTTTGGTAGTTTGATAGAATATTTTGAAAACTATATAAAAAACAAAAAACAAAATATATACAAGTTATTAGATGTACATTAGCAATTCGTAACAATCATTAGTTAATTGTGGGGAGAGATTAAAAATTTATTTCGTGGACACAAGAAACGTTTGCAGATACATTTCGTGTTTCTATTTTAATATTTTGGTAATGCTTACATGTTCCATGTGCTGTGTGTAGATGCGGAGCGAACCTACCATTAATGCGCGTTTCCACTATCCAGCGTAGTCTTTGGCACTCCTGATGATGCGTAAAACTCTTCCTTTCCTTAATTCAGACACCGCCTAAAGTTTAGGTTTTCTCTCATTCTTATGGAATCATTAAAAACTGATATCCACTCTGGCATGCTTGGACCAAAAACTCCATCTCTAACTTTTACTTAGGAGTTCATCACTAAAAATAATCCGCGCTCCTGCGACTCGAGGATGAAAGAACCTCTGCGCCGCGTGAGCTCTTTCAGTATTTAAGTGGGGAAAACGTCATACAGCCTTATAATCTGAAGGTCCCGCCCACGGCTGGTTGTCAACACCTCTAAGACCAATTTGTGGTGTAAATTAAATTATACTAAGTGGTTTTCTTTCCCTTTCTTGATGCATTTCAAATCTATCTTAAAATACACATTTCCCTCTTGTAGTTATTTAGTAAGATCGGTAAATGAGTCTAACTTTTGGAGCTTCTAAGGGGAGCGGGACAGACCGGCAGGATGGGGATTTGACTGTGATTATATGGGAAGCCTCAAGCCATTAGTTTTATGTTGCCTTCACCCCTTTCATTGCAGGGTTAACAACAGGCTGTGGAACTCTACACAAAATGCTCTGCTCATCTCCCTGACTTCTCTGAAGTGTCTTCTCAGAATTCAGTGCACTAAAAAAGCAACAGCAGGAAATTGAAGAGGGCTTATGATTTATAGAGCTTCTTTAACTAGTGCAGATCAAGTAATTTATGAAGCTTTCAATTTCTATTTGGTTTATTTATATAGCGCCAATTCACAACCCATGTCATTTCAAGGCACTTTACAATTCAACCAGATCATTCAAATTGATTCAAAGTTTTCTATCTAAGGAAAACCAATTGAGTGCAATCGACTCATTGACTCAAAGGCAATCGCTCACACTAAGCATGCTTGTAGCGACAGTAGAGAGGAAAAACTCCCTTTTAACAGGAGGAAATCTCCTGTTACAGCTGATATTTCTCTCCAGGATGGTGTCCCACGTTAACAGGGACAGACCAGATGAAGCCACTATGAGAAAAAACAGGGAGAACATTACATTAGAGATTGAACTAACAAAGTGAGAGATTAGAGATATAAAGGAGCAGAATGATGAAAAAGGGGTCCCTATGTCCTCTGGCAGTCTAAGCCTATAGCAGCATAACTACAGAGATAGCTCAGGATAACCTGAGCCTCTTTAACTGTAAGCTTTATCAAAAAGGAAAGCTTTAAGCCTACCCTTAAAAGTAGACGGTGTCTGCCTCACGGACTAAAACTCCTGTTCCACAGGAGAGGAGCTTGATAGCTAAAAGATCTGCATCCTATTCTACTTTTAGAAATTCTAGTAACCACTAGTAAACCTGCAGATTGAGAGCGAAGTGCTCTGGTAGGAACATCTGTCATGATGTTTCAAAGTTCTGACCCAAAAATGCAGAAAACAGAGAGTCCAGGTAAAAGGTTTAATGGGTCATCATGGGACATCAGGAACAATCATATCTCTGATATAAGATGGAGCTTGGCCATTTAAGGCTTTATATGTGAGGAGGAGGATTTTTAATTCTATTCTGGATTAAACAGGAAGCCAATGAAAAGAAGCCAGTATATGAGAGATATGACATCTCTCTTTTTTTTAATTTTCATTAGAACTCTGGCTGCAGCATTTTGGATCGGCTGAAGGCTTTTAACTACAGTTTGTGGACTTGCTGATTGTAAAGAATTACAATAGTCCAGCCTTGAAGTAACAAATGCATGGACTAGTTTCTCAGCATCACCCCTATGCAGGGTATTTCTAACTTTTTGCAATATTCCGCAGATGAAAGAAGGAAATTGTAGAAACCTCTTTGATATGGGATTTAAATGACAGGTCCTGATCAAAAGTAAAACCAAGATTTTTTACTTTATTATCAATGTAATCCCATCCAAAGGAAGTGACTGACTAATCAGCTTCTTTTTCAGAGACTCTGGTCCAAAGACTATAACTTCTCTTCTGTCTGCATTCAGAAGCAGAAAGTTAAGAGTCACCCAGATTTTTATGTCTTCAAGACATGCATGTAATCTATGTAATGGGTTAGCTTCATCTGGATTTATAGACAGATATAGCTGGGTGTCATCAGCATAACAGTGAAAATTAATCCCATGCTGTCTAATAACTCTACCGATTGGGAGAATATATATTTTAAAGAGAATTGGTCCTAGCACTGATCCCTGTGGTACTCCACAGGTAACCTTTGAGGATGAGGAAGATTTATCATTAACGTGAACAAACTGAAATCGGTCAGATAGATAAGATTTAAACCAGTCTACTGCTGTTGCTTTAATTCTTAAAAAATATTCAAGTCTTTCTAAAAGAATATTATGATCAACTGTATCAAATGCAGCACTGAGATCCAACAGGACAAGTACAGATACAAGTCCATTATCTGAGGCCATTAGATTATCATTAGCAACTTTCACCAGAGCTGTTTCGGTGCTTTGATGAGCTCTAGAGCTAGACTGAAACTCTTCAAAAAGTTTGTTATGGTGTAAGTGTTTGCACACGCTTTCTCAAGAATTGTAGATAAGAAAGGAAGATTGGAAATAGGTCAATAATTGACTAAGTCATCCTGATCAAGAGACGGTTTGGAGAACAACAATGTCTTGATTCTGAAAAGTTGCATTTTATTTTGGACTTTATAGGGATACAGAGATTCCCTAGTTGTGCACAATCCATTTATGTCTAACTTAGTTATTAAAAAGTATAAATGACAGGGTGTCCAAGGGCTCTGGCTTCACTAATTTGAAAAAAATCTATTATTATTCTATTATTAGTCTATTATTAGTTTTAGAAAGTGCTTTGCTAATATGACATTGAGAATAAGTTCTTCTCACTGGCAGAACTGCAGGAGATCAAAAGGTGCAACCAGGCCAGAGGAGATAGCTAATAGGTTATTTTTAACAAATTCCAGGTCAACCCAGAGCCCCCTAGTTTGATCCACAGAGAAAAAGCCTCCAAAGCAAAGAGCAAATAAAGCATCCCAAACTTAGCATACTCCTTAAAATGTGTCATCCACAGGAAATTGGACTTGTTCATGTTAGACCATGTGTGTTTGTGTTGGGCTTTGATTAAAAATTTTCACCCCTCCCATCTCTATTTCAGCAAAATTGGCAAAATTGTGGATTACTGTAATATGTCATTATAGCTGACAAATGTATCCAACTATTTCATACCTTTTTAATGGTAAAGTAAATGTAATTCCAGTTGAAGAGGTATAATGTTTGCAAATGTCTGGTACTTATTTCTAACTGTAGGCCTTCAAAAAATACCAAAAAAACAAAAAACAAAACTAGTTTTCTCAACTTGAAAAACTTTTCCAAATCAACATCTATTAGAAATTGCATTTTGTAATGCATTCCATTTTTTTTTTTTTTGAAAAGATTTATCAAGATACATCACTATACTTCAAGTCTGTTTGAATGTCACTAAATTTTTGCATTAAATATTTGCACTAAAAGTTTGGCCCTGAATAACAGACTGGGCCTTGATATAGAAGGAGAAGCTTAAGTGTTAAGGAGGTTTTATTACTGTATAATGATAATCCTGTCTATAAAACTAGAACATCTCAGTCCTGAGAGAAAGCCTATTCACCTTTTTAATAAATCAGTTAAATGTGAAATAACACTTCAAATATAAACACATAAATACAGTATTCTTTGTTTTTTAATTAATACATAACAGTAAGAGAGTGTCTGTTTTTGAAAATTAAATTTATCTCTGCCTTTTAACAATTCTTTTTTTCTTTTTGTTATCTACCACTTGTCTCATATTCTGTTGCTGTGTTTACATACTTATTGGATTTGCTAAAGTCATTTCCACCAACCATGGTATTAAATCAGGTTTACTCTCTGCGTTGCAATCATTGTGGATGGAAAACACCACACATCAGACAAAATTAGATTGCAGTTAACATAAAGTTTAAAACATACACGTATCCCTGTTTGCAGATTTGTATGTTTTTCTATAGCTGTTATTGTATTGTCTGATCTTTTTTGTTGCCTGTGTAAAAATAAAAATTTGAAACCACTGCTTAATCCAGTTTATTTATATAGTACCAATTAACAACATATGTAATCTCAAGGCTCTTTAAAGTGACAATTCCACCAGATCATACAGTCAGATTGATTCAAGCTTTTCTAAAGAAACCAGCTGATCCATCAACTCTTTGACTTAATAGCAATCCCTCACAGATATACAGAAAGTAGCAAAGATACAAAAGACAGCTGTCAACCAGCTCCACAGTTGCCCAGGTCAGGTCAGACACAGCCAGGCAGATGAGCTCCAAGCTCTTAGTAGCTCCAAGCTGTTGATGGCAGCAGTACTGCTTATATTTCTCTCCTGGATGATGTCACAGCCAAACAGGAGCAGACCAAATGAAGTTACAATGATGACAAAAAGCAGAGAGAGCATAAAGTTAGAGGTTGAACTAAAAATACTGCAGAATTAGAGGACAGAGAAAGGATGAAGCAAAATCATGAAAAGGGATCCCTGTGTCTTCCAGCAGTCTAAGCCCATAGCAGTATACCTGTAGAGATAGCCAAGGAAAACCTGAGCCACTCTAATTATAGGCTTTATCAAAAAAGAAAGTTTAAAGCCTACCTTGAAAGTCGACAGGGTGTCTGCCTCATGGACTAAAACTGGTATTTGGTTCCACAGGAGAGGAACTAAAAGATCTGAATCCTATTGTACTGATAGAAATTTTTGGAACCACTGGTAAACCTGCGGATTGGGAGAAAAGTGCTGTGTTAGGAACATGCGGATTAATCATATCTCTGATATAAGATGGACCTCGGCCATTTAAGGTTTTATATGTGAGAAGGAGGATTTTGAATTCTATTCTAAATTAAACAGGAAGCAAATGAAGAGAAGGTTGGATAGAAAAAACTTGATCTCCTTTAATATAATCAGAAAATTGCAAGTGTTGTGTTACCAAACACTTTACACATACAGTATACATTTAAATGGATAACTGGTGTTTTAGATTTTAAAACGTAATGCTGTTAAAGATTTACGTCCAAATAAATTGAAAAGTTCAAAGAGCTGTATCTAGTTTCTCAAAGAACATGCTTTGTTGTCTGAAAATATGTTTCTCTCTAATTTTACTCAGTCACTGGTACCTAGAGTGATTGATACATACTCCATTTTTAAATCAAGCCATTTTTCTTTAGGCGCTGTTATCATATCA